AAAAAAAAATTAAAATACGGATAATCCCAAAGGAAAAAAAAAAAAAATCAACCCCGCAACCCTCCCCTCCCCGCGTTGCTCCCTTGACACAAGGTAAACTTAAAAAATAAAGACGCCTGGGCGCTCGTGTCCCCACCTTGGGGACAAAACCCGGGGGTCCCCGGGGGCACCTCAGAGGGTGCCGTGGCCACGGGAGCCCAGGGCGAACCAGCCCATGTGCTCCTGGGCCAGGTCCAGGTTGCGGAGGCGAATGGCCACCTCGCCCAGCAGGATGTTCTCCCAAAAACCTTCCTCGCTCAGCACGCTGAGCCGCAGCTCCCGCTGCTCCAGGTCCCCCCGCGGGATCCCGTCATACACCAGCTGTGGGGTGGGGAGGGAGAACACTCAGACACGGCCCTAAATCTGTCCCTGTCAGCCACAGACCTGGGGACATGGCACCAAACCCCAAATCTGTCCTGCTAACCATCCCTGGGACAAGGCCCCAAACCAATCCCTAAACCCTAAATCTCTCCCATCTACCACCCCGGGGACACGGCCCCAAACCCATCCCCAAACCCTAAATCTCTCCCATCTACCACCCCGGGGACATGGCCCCAAACCCATCCCCAAACCCTAAATCTCTCCCATCTACCACCCCCCGGGACACGGCCCCAAACCCTTCCCCACGAGCCACGGCCCTGGGGACACGACCCCAAACCTGTCCCCATCAACCACAGCCCCGGGGACATGGACCCAAACCCCAAATCTTTCCTGCCTACCACCCCGGGGACACAGCCCCAAACCCATCCCTGTCAGCCACAGCCCCAGGGACACAGCCCCAAACCAATCCCCAAACCCTAAATCTCTCCCATCTACCACCCGGGGACACGGCCCCAAACCCTAATTTTTTCCTGCTAACCACCCTGGGGATATGGCCCCAAACCCATCCCCATCCCACCCCAAACTTGTCACCGTCCTGCTAAGCACCCCTGGGGACACAGCCCCAAACTCATCCCTGTCAGCCACAGCCCCAGGGACACAGCCCCAAACCCCAAATCTTTCCTGCTAACCACCCTGGGGACACGGCCCCAAACTCATCCCTGTCAACCACGGCCCCAGGGACACGGCCCCAAACCCCAAATCTGTCCTGCTAACCACCCTGGGGACACGGCCCCAAACCCCAAATCTGTCTGGCTAACACTCAGGGTACACGGCCCCAAACCCTTTCCCATGAGCCACAGCTCTGGGGACACCACCCCAAACCTGTCCCCATCAGCCACAGCCCCAGGGACACAGCCCCAAACCCCAAATCTGTCCTGCCTACCACCCTGGGGACATGGTCCCAAACCAATCCCCATCAGCCACGGCCCCAAACCGCAAACCCATCCCACCTACTGCCCCCAAACCCATCCCCAACAGCCACAGCCCCAGGGACATGGCCCCAAACCCCAAATTGCTCCTGCTAACCAACCCGGGGACACGGCCCCAAACCCATCCCTGTCCCGCCTACCACCCAGGAGACACAGCCGTAAACCCGTCCCCATGAGCCACAATCCCCAGGGACATGGCCCCAAACCTGTCCCCATCAGCCACGACCCCGGGAACACGGCCCCAAACCCATCCCCATCCCCATCCCCATCCCCGTCCCTGTCCCCATCCCCATCCCCCCCTGTTCCCATCCCACCCCAAACCCATCCCCATCCCCATCCCATCCCCATCCCCATCCCGCCCCCACCATCTCGTTGTAGGTTGGGTTGCAGGTTTTCCGGGCCACTTTGGTTTTCCTCTTGGTGGTTTTTTGGGGGTCGGGCAGCAGGTAGGTCTTGACGTAGGGATCGGGGTCATTGCCGTCCTGCAGGGGTGGCTGTGGGGCAGAGAGGGGACACCCTGTGAGCGTGGGGACAGGGACAGGGACATGG